AAACTACCAGCTGTTCCGCGGGAGAAAGATGAGGCGTTCTGCTCCCGTAAAGATTTACAGCCTTGGAAACCCTGTACAGGGTCGCTATGGGTCGGAACAGACTCGACGGCACTTAACAACAACATATATATAGAGAGAGAAAGAGAAAGAGAGAGAGAGAGACAGAGAGAGAGAGAGAGAGATTTTCCTGGTGTGGCGCTGTAGGATCAGCAATGGATTGCGAACCACAAGGTCGGCAGTTCAAACCCACCAGCTGCTTCTTAGAAACCCTTTCCAGGGTCATTATGAGTCAGAACTGACTCAACAGCACTGTACAGCAACAACAATACTGAGAAATGGAGTCCTCATGTGGTACTGGAGGGTAAGCACTTAACTATAAGGTCTGTTTGAACTACAACATCGGTGGTTCAAACTTAGCAGCTGCTCCTTGAAACCTTATACAAGGTCTCCATTAATGGGAAGTGACTGGACAGCACTTATCAAAACCAGTATTACTCACAACTGGATGAGGCAGAGGCCGTGCTTTCACTAGTACAGAAAACGAAGGCACAGAGAGGTTAATTGCCCAAGGCCACACAGCAAGGAAGTGGCAGAGCCAGGCTTTGGACCCAGGCAGGTTGGTTCCATAGCCCGTGCTTGTAATTATTAACTCCATAAAAACACAACGATGTCTAACAAGTAGTAAGGGTTAGCGACTGCTTCAGCATTTGACTAGACTTGCAGCTGCACATCAAATATTTCTCTACTCCAAGAAAAGAGATATATCTCCTTCCTTAGATCATATGCTTCAAACTCACAGTCCCTGTAATCAAGAAATTCTCTCTTAAACCCAGGGATTGATGTCAGCAGGCACGCCCATTCAATGGATTGGCAGTGACTGACTTAAGGCATTTCGTTGAGAAGCCTCCTAGTTGATTAGCAATGTCTGTCGAGGACATGGCATGTGGGGCATGGGTAGCCATATATTTGCTATAACTTAAGTGGTTCCTGCTGCAATGAAAGTCCATCCTCCATGGTTGTGTTTTCTAGGTACTGGCTGTCCTGCTGTCCATGGGAAGCTGGGTTGTCTGGCTATGTACAGTACAGAGCCACCCCAAATATGACCCTTGAGACACACCCAGAGGGCAGCAAGTAGGCACTGCAGTCAGCTATGTATGGTATCTCTCCTGCCTTCTACTTTGATTCTACAGGAAGCAGAGAGAGCAGGGCCGAGGAGGCAATTCCCACCTTGATACACTTCCTGGTTCCTCCTCTCTCTGCTTTAGGGTTTCAGTCAAAGTGAAGCCAAACTTCAGGGCTCCTGTGTCAGGCTCAGCATACGGGAAGCTACCTGGACTCCCCCTCACCATCAGGAGCCTGGTGGTTCAGAGGAGAAACTCACATCCAATCTCCTCATTTGCCCTTCCACTGCAGTCTCCAGGCTCACTCTGAACAGGCTTGGAGTGATCTTCCTGGTGAAGGGAGGACTCTCAAGGCAGGCAGGACAGTGGCAGAGGGCTTCCTCCTACAGAGACTCAGAGCTAACCATATCAGCTGTCCCAGCAAACTGTCTGTGGGAGGAGGCTCCAGGGTGGGGGCAGTGAGAAATCTTTTGGCCTAATCAAAAAAAAAAAAAAAAGACTGGGGGGAACGAGGCCCGTGTCCAGCAGGGGGTCTGTCGAAGTCCCCCATGGCAGAGTTTATTTTGGAAGATTGATGACAGGAATTGAGATCTGACTCCCAAACACGCCACAATAAATCATCCCTCTTCCTTTCAAGGATTGAAACGATTTTCCTCTCTCAGTGGGACTTATCAGCCAGGGACATTTACCTTTCAGAGAGCAGATGGGATGTTAAATACTGGTTTGATTAAAAATTGGGTAGGCCGGGTCCCAGGAACAGATCAAGTGGAGAACAATGCTGGAAGTCACTTCTCCCAAGAACACACAAGATAGACTTGGTGATGTCAGCCACCTCCTTGAGAAAGATCTGATACGGGTGGGTTCGGCCCTTTCAAATTCCAATCCCCAGTCCCTAACTGACCTCTTCGTCTTTTGTTGGGATATCAAATGTCCCTCAAAGAAGATAGCATTTCTTCTCCTGTTCTCTGGATCCATTACTTCAGGGAGATAGTCTCCTTGGGCTCTTCTCAGATTCTTTGGAAATGATCAGGCTCTCCCATTCCACCCTGGACTGCAGAGAGGCCAGAGAAGGAGGCCTGACACAGGACTGTCATTTACGTGTTGTCTCCAAGTCTAACCTACCGACATTGCTGTCTCTTGCATAGAAACAACCATCACCACCATCTGCCCTAAGTGACCAGGTCAAAACGCAGCTGCCCCATGAAGTGCCCCAGGAGGTGGCTGGACATGTGGACATGTCCTACACTGGAGACCCTCACAGTGACCTGCTTTCTGATTGGGGACGGACTTTCCAGGACCAGAACTGTGTAGAGTTTATATACTGTTTCAAACCTGATGCTTTTCTGGCTACAGTTGCTTCTTTAGAAGACAAGGGAACTGGGCTAACAATGCAAGCAGCCAGCCTTTCAGATTGAAATTCAGGACCTGCTTTGTACTGTAGGTGGTCACTGTCTCTCCCTAGATTAGGGGGGCAGAGGTGGGTGGGAAGGCACAATGACAGCCTCCTTACCTGTGTAAGGAGTTTCTGGTACAAAGGGTAAATATGCTAGTTAATGTGTTAACTGAAAGGCTGAGGTTTCCAACTCACCCAGAGGCACCTTGGAAGAAAGTTCCAGCGATCTACTTCTGAAAAATCAGCAACTGGAAATCCTTATGAATCAGAGTTCTAGTCTGCACACCTAGGCATTGGAGTTGGCTCCTGCCAACTGGCTCTTTCCCGTATAAAGATGCTAGAGGGACCCTGTAGAAACCGCCTGCCTAGGGCCTCCCAGAAGACAGTAGAGGGTAAGTGACAGACCCCCCCATCCAGGACCCGGTTACCGGCAGGGATCATAGACTTTTCAGATGCTTATGCCCAGGCTGCAGCTTGAGTACTTACAGGAGGTCCTGAAAGAGAAAGAGAAAATGCCAAGGTCAGGGTCACGGCTGGAAAGAACAGGGATGGGGGGAAACTGCCTTAGAAGAAGAATCAAAGACTCCTTCCACTGAGGGGTATCCATCTGGTCTTCAAAGTTTGTGTTTTCCTGGCCCACTTTCACCCAGATAATCTCTTCTCCCTTTATTTCATCACCATAGTTTCATATCTGGATGAGCTGGGCAGCGGTCTGGTCCCCAGACTCTGTCCTGCTGGGAACCTAAGGGTAAACCCTACAAAGAGCCCTGCCTCAGTTTCCCTCCCCACAGAATAGGCTCTTTATGACTCATCTGACTCAGGACTCGCTTATAGAGTGGCTTTGCAGGACCTGGGACAGTGAACACTACAGCACTTTGAGAAAGGTCAAAGGTGGGATTCTTGTGAGTCACAGTGAGTCTGGTAACGTAGTGGTTACGAATTGGGCTGCGAACCGCAAGGTCAGCAGTTCGAAACTACCAGCTGCTCCATGGGAGAAAGAAGAGGCTTTCTGCTCCTGTAAAGATTTACAGCTTTGGAAACCCTGTTCACGGTCACTATGGGTCGGAACTGACTCAATGGCACTTAACAACAACAACAACAATAGCATACTGATTACAAATCGGGCTGCTAATTTTGATTAGCAGTTCAAAACTACCAGCTGTTCTGTGTGATAAAGATGAGGCTTTCTGATCCCGTAAAGATTTACAGCCTCGGAACCGACTCCACAGCACATAACAGCAACAACAAACGTTATCATAATGAATTGCAAATGTTACCACTGTAAAGGTAGAAGTTTTGTAACATAAAGTTTATCTTATAGTCCAGGAACAGAAGACCCTAGGACCATCAAGGGAGAAGACTACGAGGGGAATGTGGGACCCTATCCAGAGAAACAGTGATACCAGAGATGGAGGCAGATATGAGGACACAGGAGATAGAGCAGCTGAGGACTCTAGACTCATGGGAAGAGAAAGGCTGTTTGCTGGCGGCCAAGACTTGCAGAATGTGCCCTTTGGTTGTTTAAATGATTATATATTCCTGAGTGTTCTCATGTACCTCAAACAAACAAACAAACAGAGGGATAGAAGCAAATACTATTGAACAGAAAGTCCTGGTGTGGCGCTGTGGGTTGATGCGCTGGACTGCAAAGTTGGTTTGAACTGCAAGGTCAGCAGTTCAAGCTCAACAGTCGCTCCTTGGAAACCCTATACAGGGTTGCTGTGGGTTGGAACCAACTTGATGGCACTTAACAACAACAACTGTTGAATGGGAATTCATGGAAGGGATTATAATCATTGCAATGAAACAAAATACAATAGGATGAGTGCAAAACTGATGTTCTCCCATGTAAACTATCAATTCACAATAAAAGCTTTAAAACAAAAAGGTAAAAGGTGAGACAAAACTTAAAGAGACTGAGATGACTACTCAGTGTCCCCTCCAAGCTTCCCAAGAGCTGCTACAGAAAACACACAAGCAGGAGCAGGGTGAAACCAAGTCTCCCACTTGGGTCCCAGCTGATGTCCATCGGGTCTGCCCTGGCTTCTGTGACGCTGCCAGTCAGCTGTGTCTTTGCTCCCAGCCCTGATGCACACAACACCTCCTTCTCCACACCCACCTCTCTATTTTCTTCCCCTTGTGGTGTCCACTCTTCTTCCCACCTGACCTCATTCCTGGCAACGGCCCTGAGTTACAAATTCAAATGTTCTGAGGAAGGAGCTGATAAGAAGCAGCCGCAGACAGCAAAAGAAAAGATATTTCTGCAGAACATGAGTCAGAAGAAGCCCCCAGGCCCATCGATGTCCCGGGTACGACTGCCCAGCGCCGAGTGTCCTGGGACGTTAACCCAGCAGCTAGTTCTGTTGTTTCTTTTATGCTCAGCCAAAAATGACTCCTATGTCTCCCTTGCTCCTCACGTTCCCCCTTTATCTGTCTGCTTGCTGTCCTGGTCCCTGGCCAACAGCAAACAACCTCTTTCATGCTGGCCTCTGTCACAGCAACACATTAAGGGGGAACAAAATGTTTTAAATTAAAAAGAAGAAGAGATGTAGGAACTAGGCGAAGAGGCCCCAGGCTGGTGGACAAGCATGGAGGGAGAGGGAGGATTATGTGTGTGTGTGGGAGCATCTGGGACCCATCACACTGAGGGGCAAAGGAATGTCACTCAGTATCTGGACATACATCCTGAACTGCAGGATGCCAGTGGGACCAGCCCAGCTGGGAAGTCTGTGCCTGCTGCCTGGGGGATGGGTCCTCTGCGTGACAAGTAGTCCTGTGACAAGGATTAGCCCCTGGCAATCTGGATGGTTCGGCCACATGGTAGGCAGATGCTGTGTGGCCGCTGGCCTGACAGGGTCTGATTGCACGTGCGGTAGTCTCTGAGTCCCGTCCCCCGCCAGGGACTGTGACCCAGGCCAGAGCTGCAAAACTCTAGGCAGTATCAGCCTTACAGACATCATCAGATGTGACTGGGCAGTACCGAGCTGAGAGGCCTGTGACAGCACCAAGCATAAATCGTCGGTATCAAGTTTACTGATGTTTTCCAGGGATTTTTGTATCAGCAGCACCACCATTACTGTACACAGCACCCTGGTTCTTACTGTGTGCCCAATTCTAAGTCATCTCCCCACACAGAGCCCCTTAATCCTCAGAGCTCCATGGACGAGGTTCTTTAATCCCACACTGCAGATGATGCAACCAGCACAGGGAACTGAGGGGACGCTGCTGAGGCCAAGGGACTGCAACAGACAGAGCTCCTTTCCTCTGCTGCTGCACCCCCTCCCCAAATCGCCCACAGACCCTTGGGCACCCCAACCCTCTCCCAGGGATCCTACGCCTTTGTCTAGATCCCACCCTCCTATGTCTCACTACAAATCACAGCAGTTAGCCTCGAGTGGATTCTGACTCACGGTCACCCCGTATGCTTCAGAGTGGAACTGTATGCTCTGTAGGGTTTTCTTGGCTGCGACTTTCACAAAAGCAGATGGTCAGATCTTCCTTTTGTGATGCCGCTGTGTGTGTACCTTTAGATTAGTTGTTGTGTTGTGAAGTACTGTCGAGTCCATTCCAACCCACAGCGACCCTGCATAAGGTTTCTGAAGAGCAGCTGGTGAGCTTGAAACGCCGGCGTTGCAGTTCAAACGGCTTTGCGGTCTGGCGCATTAACCCACAGTGCCCCACCAGGCCACCCGGGACCCCGTATTTCCCACTTGTGTGCTTCATCTTCTTATTCAGAGAGTTTGACGGTTTGACCCCCTTCCAGGTCAGCATTCTCCCACCTGCCACTTCAGGACCCAGGAATAAGAAAAACCCCTATTTAGAAGTTGATTTTGTACTTTAGAAAGAGGATGAGACATAGGGGAGTTATGGAGGAAAAAAAAGACTTTTTTGGTCACAAACATTTTTCCCCAGCTTTTTTCCAACAGGCCTGCAGTGGGAGACCCTGGATTTCAAAGCAAATGCTTCATTCAAGGTTGTGCTTCGATGCCCCCCAGCTCTGAGGCGATTGGGAAGAGGCCAATAGCTTTGCAAAATCCACCAACACCAGCTGCCATCTAAGTGATGTTATTGGTTGGTGTTCACATAGACCACTGGGCTGGACTCAGTGATGTGTGTTGACTGACCCCTCACCTTGGCCAAACACCAAGGATAGAGTCACTCCCTAGGCATTGCCATGTGCCCATTGTACGGAAGGGGAAAGAGAGGCAAAGGCAGGTGAGGGTCACTTCGTGAACAGTGATGGGGCAGGACCAGGGCTCAAGTCTACTACTCTCCACCCAGTGGTTTTCCTTACAGACCACACTGTCACCCATGACTTGGGTTGTGGACCCTGCAGAGAGTGTGTGAAATGTGTGGTACAGTCCACTGCCTCCTCGTGGGAGGAGAGGAGAATGTCTATCATGTGCCACTGCTGTCCTCCGGAGGGCACCTGTCCCAGCCACCTAGCCCGCAGCATGAACTGGGGCCCTGCCTTTGTCTATGTGCTGCAGTAGCTGCTCTCACCTGCGCTTCGGCGATTCCCACAAGGCTATGTGGAAGGGACCCCTGTATGGGTGGCGCATTTCTTCCAGCCCTTCTTTTCTATGTTCATCCAGTCAACAAGCATTTCATGAACACCTACTACAGTCGCCCTTCAAAGAAGTAAGTTTCACGTTTGAAGCACCTGTTGTCTACCGGAGGAGCCCTGCAAGAGCAGCCATTAAGTGTTGGGCTGTGGACCACTATCAACCCCCATTTCATAGACAAGGAGCCTGAGCTTTGGTGGTGGTGTGTGCCCTCAAGTCAGTTCCAACTCACAGGAGTCCTGGTGTGGCACTGTAGGATAAGCACTAGACTATAAAGCTGTTTGAACTGCAAGATCGGCGGTTCAAACCCACCAGCCACTCCTTGAAAAAACCCTATTGTTGTTGTTGTTGTTAAGTGCCGTTGAGTCGGTTCCGACCCATAGCAACCCTAAACAGGGTTTCTGAGGTTGTAAATCTTTACGGGAGCAGATAACCTCATCTTTCTCCCGCGGAACCGCTGGTAGTTTTGAACTGCTGACCTTGTGGTTCGCAGCCCGATTCATAACCACTACGCTACCAGAGCTCCTTATACAGGGTCATTATGAGTGGGAACCAACTTCACAGCACTTAACAACAACAATCATAGGGTTTCTGAGAGCAACTGACCTTGTAGTTAGCAGTCCCAGTGCTTATCCCACAGCGCCACCCTGAGTCTTAGAGGGTCAGAAATCTGTGTAGGGGCATCCTGTTGTTAAGCACAGCATCTGTGTTTTGGTATTCTCTGTGTGTGTGTTTTATTTATGCATATTTTAGGTTTAGTTTCCCTATGGTAGAGTCTAGATTTAAACCCTGGCCTCTCTTACCCTGAACCCTGTCCAGACTGGAAAGACCATGATGGGTGGAGGAACCACCTGGACCTCAGCCCTGTGTCCTCTAATAAGGGCAGGTTGGCTCCACCCCTGTCACCATGGGCTTGGTCCTGCCCCAGA